TAAAGACTTCACTTTTTTATAGAACAGAAAGTAGAGGTAAAGACTTCACTTTTTTATAGAGCAGAAAGTAGAGGTAAAGACTTCACTTTTATATAGAGCAGAAAGTAGAGGTAAAGACTACACTTTTATATAGAGCAGAAAGTAGAGGTAAAGACTACACTTTTATATAGAATATGTATTTAACCTTAAATGTTATTACACGTTCGTGAAAGAAATATCTTACTTAGTATTATCGTCTTAAAGAGGGAAATGATTCAAAATTCATAACTTTGCATGAAATTCATTTCTCGACTTAAAAACGTATGAATATTGAACTCTCAATTAACTGGTAATCTTCGAACAAAAATATAGGCTAGGAGTATGAGAAAGACGAGTAAAATTGTAAAGCAATATTAACTACATTGTAAGTCTTTCCAACTACAATAGTCCAGTCGATGGTTTTAATCTGTGTACATCCATACTTTTAGAAACAGAATTAATGGGTTTACGCATTTATCTAATTATTTATTGAATATAGATTTATCTACATCACATTTGAGAAACCCTTATGCTGCGATTTTATGTTGTTTCTCAGCCTAATATTGACAGACAAAATGGACTCAAAATCTAAGGTAAAAAGTACTCATGAATATTCAATTACATACAAATGAATTCTGATTTGACAGAAATACACTTCGGATAACTGTGTTCTGCTTGTGTTTATAGATCTGACCTATTGCACATGTACAGAATGATACATAATCATGTAATATCATATAAACAAATGACGTTTTATGCAATATTTCATGCTGATTCTGTCTATGTTTGCTCTTGTTTGTTGCAGAAAGAAATTTCTTCACCCAAATTCTCTGCTACACTTGGGGATAGTACACTAAACTTTAGAAAAATGGCTTTAAACTTAGTTTATGTTCAGGGCATTAAAGATGGAACCCTTCCTCCGGAAAAAATTGGTAAGGATATATCTTCTTTTTAAATAAGACATCATAAACAATATAAGATATGGTCTACTGATTTTCGTACTAGCCTGGTTACAAACCCCCCCATATTCTACATACTTGCTGTCAGTTTTCCCCTTCTGTTAGCTATCTTGGTTTTTGTACTAGCCTGGTTACAAACTCCCCCTATATTCTACACACTTGCTGTCAGTTTCCCCCTCCCATGAGCTATCTTGGTTTTTGTACAAGCCTGGTTACAAACCCCCCCACCCCCCCCCCATATTCTACATACTTGCTGTCAGTTTCCTCCTTCTGTTAGCTATCTTGGTTTTTGTACTAGCCTGGTTACAAACCCCCCCTATATTCTACACACTTGCTGTCAGTTTCCCCCTCCCATGAGCTATCTTGGTTTTTGTACAAGCCTGGTTACAAACCCCCCCATATTCTACATACTTGCTGTCAATTTCCTCCTTCTGTTAGCTATCTTGGTTTTTGTACTAGCCTGGTTACAAACCCCCCTATATTCTACACACTTGCTGTCAGTTTCCCCCTCCCATGAGCTATCTTGGTTTTTGTACAAGCCTGGTTACAAACCCCCCTATATTCTACATACTTGCTGTCAATTTCCTCCTTCTGTTAGCTATCTTGGTTTTTGTACTAGCCTGGTTACAAACTCCCCCTATATTCTACACACTTGCTGTCAGTTTCCCCCTCCCATGAGCTATCTTGGTTTTTGTACTAGCCTGGTTACAAACCCCCCTATATTCTACATACTTGCTGTCAGTTTCCTCCTTCTGTTAGCTATCTTGGTTTTTGTACTAGCCTGGTTACAAACCCCCCTACATTCTACATACTTGCTGTCAGTTTCCCCCTCCCATGAGCTATCTTGGTTTTTGTACTAGCCTGGTTACAAACCCCCCTATATTCTACATACTTGCTGTCAATTTCCTCCTTCTGTTAGCTATCTTGGTTTTTGTACTAGCCTGGTTACAAACCCCCCTATATTCTACATACTTGCTGTCAGTTTCCCCCTCCCATGAGCTATCTTGGTTTTTGTACTAGCCTGGTTACAAACCCCCCTATATTCTACATACTTGCTGTCAGTTTCCCCCTCCCATGAGCTATCTTGGTTTTTGTACTAGCCTGGTTACAAACCCCCCTACATTCTACATACTTGCTGTCAGTTTCCCCCTCCCATGAGCTTTCTTGCTTTTTGTACTAGTCTGGTTACAAACCCCCCTATATTCTACATACTTGCTGTCAGTTTCCCCCTCCCATGAGCTATCTTGGTTTTTGTACTAGCCTGGTTACAAACCCCACTATATTCTACATACTTGCTGTCAGTTTCCCCCTTCCATTAGCTATCTTGGTTTTTGTACTAGCCTGGTTACAAACCCCCCTATATTCTACACACTTGCTGTCAGTTTCCCCCTCCCATGAGCTATCTTGGTTTTTGTACAAGCCTGGTTACAAACCCCCCCTATATTCTACATACTTGCTGTCAGTTTTCCCCTTCTGTTAGCTATCTTGGTTTTTGTACTAGCCTGGTAACAAACCCCCCTATATTCTACATACTTGCTGTCAGTTTCCCCCTCCCATGAGCTATCTTGGTTTTTGTACTAGCCTGGTAACAAACCCCTCCTATATTCTACATACTTGCTGTCAATTTCCTCCTTCTGTTAGCTATCTTGGTTTTTGTACTAGCCTGGTTACAAACTCCCCCTATATTCTACATACTTGCTGTCAGTTTCCCCCTCCCATGAGCTATCTTGGTTTTTGTACTAGCCTGGTAACAAACCCCTCCTATATTCTACATACTTGCTGTCAGTTTCCCCCTCCCATGAGCTATCTTGGTTTTTGTACTAGCCTGGTTACAAACCCCTCTACATTCTACATACTTGCTGTCAGTTTCCCCCTTCTGTTAGCTATCTTGGTTTTTGTACTAGTCTGGTTACAAACCCCCCTATATTCTACATACTTGCTGTCAGTTTCCCCCTCCCATGAGCTATCTTGGTTTTTGTACTAGCCTGGTTACAAACCCCCCTATATTCTACATACTTGCTGTCAGTTTCCCCCTTCCATTAGCTATCTTGGTTTTTGTACTAGCCTGGTCGCAAAATGTTTAACGTGACGTACTATTTATGTAATAGGCCCAGGTAATTTGAGATGCTGAATGCTCTACATCTGCTCCATACTTTTGGGCAACCATGGGCACTGTATCATTTCCAGTTTGATTACTCCAATAAAACTTGTTGCTGATCCAAACACATCACATTAAGCATTGTGCATAAAACAATTCACGAAGCTTCTTGATGAAGGTAAACAAATGACATTGATAACCTCAGTTTTTGATAGGGTGAACCCTGATTATAATCACTGGCTAATCCCCTAAGGGTTCTTCAGACCAAAATTGATTAAAATATGCTCCATCGTTCATGACTAGGTGCAATTTGTGCATAAAACTGACAGACAAAGGATGAGACAACAGTCATCACTGTATCCATATAGCTCACATGGCCCTTTTGGCCAGGCGAGCTAAAAAACTAGAAAGGCTGAAATTTATGTAATGGTGACAAGAGTACTGAAAGCAAATAAAAAGAATGAAATTTTTGCACATTTTGTAAAACTAAATGATGGTGATTTAATCAAATCAGAAAATAAAATAATGATATGACATTCCATGTGAATTTTGAAATATGTTATTAAAATGAAATATTTCTATAAGAATCTGTTTATGATCAATTCTGCAAGAGATCCTAATTAGAGTCTAATGACGACAATGTGTACATACTGTTGTTTTTATTTTCACTACAGGGAACTTTTGGAATATATAAGACATGGGCTGCCCAGAATTTTGATCCAAACTACACAGGATATCAGAGCTATCTTTGGTTTTTGTTGCTGGCCTCACCCCCCTATATTCTACACACTTGCTGTCAGTTTCCCCCTCTCCAAGTAGACGAAATGATAGATGCTGCTGCAGATGCTGGCAAATTAAATAAAGATAAAACAACGAAAATATATAAGAAATGCATGGAAGGGGAATACAAGTTTTTCAACTCGGTATAGAGGCCAAAAAAATTACCTTGAGGTCTTAGCTTGTTACCTATGATAACTTAAAACAAACTTGTCTTATTAGAATTATAAAGCTGCTTTGCTTAATCTCTATTTATTCTCCTTCGTGACAGAAATGGAATTGGGACATGAGATGGCATGAGATCAGGGCACCAGGAAATATCTACAGACATCTGATAACCAAATGTACTTTTTATAAACCATAAAATATTGAAAATTTATGTATTTATTGAGGCAAATGTGCCTCCCTCCCTATATTGTGAGAATAACTTCGACATATTTAAATCGTCTTCCAGATTTCAACATTTTATGCCCCTAGCACCTTGCGGAGTCCTTGAAAGATGAAACAGATCAATGAAGCAGTTTAATTCGTTATTTGGTTATTATGGAATCCAATTTGTATTGAAAGTTTACATATGTATTTGTCTCGACTATGATCATTACATGAATTGTACTAAATAGTGGTCAGGAAATGAAATGTACTTTGGTCCTAAAACCCATGTGAACAAATATGCAGATGGCTTTGCATATCTTTTATGTATTCTGAGTGTTTCTAACAAATTAATCAGACATGATATTGGAGTTGTTTTTCATCATAGTATTTAAATATGTTCATCAATAAATTACCTGTATCAGCAGGTGTACAATGACATTAAATGACATGGAATTAGCATCTACTGTAAAATTATTAATTTTTGAGAGGACTTTATTTTTGTTGGTTTTGTGGTACTCTTCATCAACAAATTTTTATATGGCCACGTCCTATCAGAATTAGTCTCAGTAGGTCAACTGTAGCGATGAAGTCCGGTGTCATTGAAAGAAAAAAAAAGCTGTAAAAACCACTATAATAGAGCTCTTGTAAATTTTGTGATTTTTAAGTATGTTAAATATTCTTCCTGATCTCACGACTAAAGCAAAAATTTGTGTCAAAAACATTTATTGTAACAACAAGGTAACTCAAAGCATGACATTATCTCTCAAGCCCCTCTATTACCACAAGAAGATTAATTTCTATTTGTGATTTTAATTGTTTCACTAATTTAATATATACCACAAGTTTTGTGAAGTTGAGTGAAGTGGTTTTGAAGTTAAAAGCCCAGAAAAGGCTTCGGATGCATGCACAGACCGGGCCCAAACTTATATTCCCACGAGGGATAATATAAAGTCATTGATAAACAATACAGATGAAAATCCTTGTTTACAATGTGTGTAACTGAAGCAACCTTTCTATGCGATATCTGTCTTTGAATCAACTTTCACATTCAGCGAGTGTCAATGAGTCAACATTCAACGTCATCGAGTCGTTCAATCTGTCATTGAATCGACATTCAATAAGTGTCAATACTCATATTCAATGAATCATCTTCACAATCAATGTAAGTCTTTCAATCATTCTTCACACTCAGTGTCATTGAATCAACATTTAGTAAGTCATTAAATTAACACTCAGTGAGTGACATTGAATCAACATTCAGTAAGTCATTGAATTAACACTCAGTGCCATTAAATCAACATTTAATAAGGCATTGAATCAACATTTATATTCAGCATGTGTCATTGAGCCAATCTTCACATTCAGTGTCAGTCTATGAATCAACCTTCACATTTAATGTCCTTGTTTAAATCACCATCTACATGCAGTGTCCTTCCTCCATATGATAGTCTCATTAAGGTGATAAGAATTTACATAGTAGTATCACATATATGGAGCCCAACCAACATACATCTGACACAGGTTCCTATCATCTGTAGCTTCCTGCAAAATGATAAAACAACAGCATTAAAATCAAGCTTAAGTAAAACATCTCAGAGATGTCTTTCACTAACGTTTGATCTTTATTTGTTTTTTAAAAGTTGGAATTTTACCCTTCCTTTCCAATTTTTCCTCTGTTTTTTGCTCCTAATTACATGAAAGTTGAAAATGCTTCTCCATAATTAGCCATAAAACCATTGAATGTCAGAAGATGATCAATTAAACAATGAACACGTGTGAACAAGAAAAGTAAACATTCTGGCGGGTTCCACCAGAGATAATGAGCTGTTAGATAGGTGTACTCACATTGATCAGATAATTGACATGGCCCTCTATAGATAATGGCACAGTGATGGGTCGCGATGTCTTAGACTTCAATATTCCCTTCAGACGATGTTCAATATTTTGCACATGGGACATGGCCTGTAAGTAGAATACAGAATGGCATACTTTAAACTTCTTTCGACATACAAGAAAACTTTATCCTATATCCAGGTCTACTTATTATGACAGTATATTAAAACAGCTGTCCAAACATCATCTAAACTGACAGTATCACACACCACTTCATTATGTCCTCATTGCCCACTCAGAGCAAATTCACATCCCTTGCTATTATTATACTTAAATAACTCCGGAAAGCATCCATGTTGATTCGTTAACTGAAATCAGTGTCTTGACCAGTCTAGCCGTGCAGAAAATGAAGTGAATGCTCTCCTAGACCAGTATTAGATTTCAGCTAAACATTCAAATTATGATCCATAATGTACAGAAGTGATATTACACAGGTAAGTACAATGTACATCTGCTGTAAACAGAATTTTTCATCAACAAACCAACTTAGTGAACATTTGGTGATTCAGAAGTCAATATCAAAAATCTTAAGTATTTACAATAAAGATCAATATGCAAATTCTTCAGAGAGAAAAAAACACCAGGAGAGTTATGTACCAGTACTTGTTATTATCCATTTCAAAAATGTTTTAACAGACAAATCTTGAGAATAACACCTCGTTCTCTCACAAATGTGACACATTATTACTTTCTCACACAGTGTGAATTTCCTTTGATGGCACCATAATTAGTATTTGTAATTAGTCTCTGTAACAGTGTTGACATCAAAAGTGAATACTAAGGCAATATCACAGTGAGTGAGTGACATACCAGTTGTAAAGAGATAGGAATGAGAAACAGAGATAAATACATCAGCCCTTGATAAATCTTGTAAAGAGATCAGTATGAGAAACAGAGATAAATATATCAGCCCTTGATAAATCTTGTAAAGAGATACATCAGCCCTTGATAAATCTTGTAAATCTTGTAAAGAGATCGGTAGAAATGGAGATAAATACATCAGCCCTTGATAAATCTTGTAAAGAGATAGGAATGAGAAACAGAGATAAATACATCAGCCCTTGATAAATCTTGTAAAGAGATCAGTATGAGAAACAGAGATAAATATATCAGCCCTTGATAAATCTTGTAAAGAGATAGGAATGAGAAATGGAGATAAATACATCAGCCCTTGATAAATCTTGTAAAGAGATAGGAATGAGAAACAGAGATAAATACATCAGCCCTTGATAAATCTTGTAAAGAGATAGGAATGAGAAACAGAGATAAATACATCAGCCCTTGATAAATCTTGTAAAGAGATCGGAATGAGAAATGGAGATAAATACATCAGCCCTTGATAAATCTTGTAAAGAGATAGGAATGAGAAACAGAGATAAATACATCAGCCCTTGATAAATCTTGTAAAGAGATAGGAATGAGAAACAGAGATAAATATATTGGCCATGCCCTTGATAAATCTTGTAAGAAGATAGGTATGAGAAATGGAGATAAATACATCAGCCCTTGATAAATCAACAGTAAAAAACAAGTTCAATCTAGTTGGAACATATTTCATCCATTTTTCCATATAAGGCTTAAATAGTTTTCTATATATGTGGGAAATGTGGTATACAGTGCAGCAACAAGAAGATTATAACTTGTTAAGTAAATTTGAGCTAATTGATTAAAAAACAAAACTTGACTGCTTTTAATACATTAAAATACTAGTACTAGTATATATTAATGCTTATTATGGAAAATTTTGGTCAGTTTTCATATACCAATAGTAATTTACAAATTTTAAGATATCATTTATCAATATTGATTTATTCATTCATCATTTCTGTCACAAGAAAAACCCCAGTGAAGTAAAGTAAGACAAAATCCTGTACTTTTTGCTCTAAATCTGTCTAAATCATATACTTCACATTTGCTAGCCAAGTTGTATCTTATATATAATTTGGTTCAGTACAGGGTCACCTTTGCTTTATGAATAAATGACACATGCATAATTGATAATGTTTTCTTGTCTACTTTTGAAAGAATACATGCAGTATATATAAGGTCGCCTGTTATATCTCTTTATGCAATACTAAGGGGTTTAAAAGTATGAGATAATGCTAGTTAAAGTGTTGTCTTGTATCCATTCCCTGCCATCCTTATTTTAAGAGAGATGAAACAGCTAGTTGTTACAGGTCATATACAATGTGCATCTTATATCTTTTACATTTTAAATCAAAAGTTCATCACTTATGCATTAAGAGATATTTCTATCACAGCAAAAAAATGGATGTTTGTTTTGTTTTCAGAGAAGAAAAAAGAAAAACGTGAAAATTTCTAAATTCTTTATATTTCTCACATGGTGGATCATTGTAAGTAAAGCAACACCACAACTTTTGACGAGTAGGGCTTCAGGAAGCCAACAAGGTTTGGAAGAGACTTTCATTTTTCCAGTAACTATTGCAATACATGTGCATTAATAAAGCACATATTCTGTAGTGACAACAGCCATCTTCGAATGTACACATGAGGTACTGTTGTGTTCCATTAAAATGTACCATACCAATTCAACACAGCTGGTATGAAAACAATAAAGAATGCACAGCATGTCTTTAATAACTCATCATTCAAATCTAAATTAATTTCTAAAACTAGCATTTGTGAAATCATGTATTTGCAAATATGTCTGAAGAGGTAAATTCGTGAAGAAAAGTATTCACTGAATCATAAGTTATACAGAGCAGTGTTACCTGTTCGTTGTTTATTTCACCAGTATCCATGGGATTGGACCTTCCTCCCTTTCCTGGTTTACTCCATTCCACCAACGGATCATAGACAAAAGGTTTCAGAACACTGTAAACATCATACATGGTTAGTTAGTTCGTAGAAATAAACAAAAATGGGGAAAGTGAGTTTAAATTGACAAGAACACAGGAGGCAATGGTTAATTACCTCATCAATGGGTCCATCTGGGTTCGCATCACTCTCAGTGTCACCTCACAGGCCCGCCGGAATATCCCTTCATATCCTAGGGGGCCCTACAACATAGTATGTGCCATACTTAACAAAATACAACAAGCTGCTTCGCTAGAGTTCCTCACAATACCGGATACCTTCCTGACAAATTCATTGTGAATTATAGCAATTTTCTCAACACACTTTTTCGATCTGTAATCAAGTAAGTTAAACACTGAATGCTTTGACTAAATTTCATTATCAACAGATTTTGATAATCTCAAATGCTTTGCCAGAGCTTAGGAAATTTCTAGGATTCAGAAATACTGGTGAGTCCTTCTGTATCTTCTTTTCCTGTAGGACTTACATTCTAATAGGTCTAATATCTTTCTTAGTAATGGTGTTAATACACTTTTGAAAATGATAGATCATTATTGCCTCAAAATCAAAGCAGATTTACAATGTTCTACATTTTCCTATATTAGCTTACAATGTATGCAAAAAGCCATGAAAGTAGCACATTTCGATACAAAGAAAGAATTTTAATACTTATATGATCTTAAATCTACACATGCCAGAAAAATTGGCAAAAGACCAAAGAAATAATTCCTACAGCACAAACGCAGGAATATTTCTAACAGTATGACCACAGGAATATTCCCTACAGCACGACCACAGGAATATTCCTTACAGCACGACCACAGGAATATTCCCTAGAGCACGACCACAGGAATATTCCTTACAGCACGACCACAGGAATATTCCTTACAGCATGACCACAGGAATATTCCTTACAGCACGACCACAGGAATATTCCCTAGAGCACGACCACAGGAATATTTCTTACAGCACGACCATAGGAATATTCCTTTCAGCACGACCACAGGAATATTTCTTACAGCATGACCACAGGAATATTCCTTACAGCATGACCACAGGAATATTTCTTACAGCACGACCACAGGAATATTCCTTACAGCACGACCACAGGAATATTTCTTACAGCATGACCACAGGAATATTCCCTAGAGCACGACCACAGGAATATTCCTTAGAGCACCACCACAGGAATATTTCTTACAGCACAACAACAGGAATATTTCTTACAGCAAGACCACAGGAATATTTCTTACAGCAAGACCACAGGAATATTCCTTACAGCAAGACCACAGGAATATTTCTTACAGCAAGACCACAGGAATATTCCTTACAGCACGACCACAGGAATATTCCTTACAGCACGACCACAGGAATATTCCTTACAGCACGACCACAGGAATATTCCTTACAGCACGACCACAGGAATATTCCCTACAGCACGACCACAGGAATATTCCTTACAGCACGACCACAGGAATATTCCTTACAGCACGACCACAGGAATATTCCTTACAGCACGACCACAGGAATATTCCTTACAGCAGGACCACAGGAATATTCCCTAGAGCACGACCACAGGAATATTTCTTACAGCACGACCACAGGAATATTCCTTACAGCACGACCACAGGAACATTCCTTACAGCACGACCACAGGAACATTCCTTACAGCACGACCACAGGAACATTCCCTACAGCACGACCACAGGAACATTCCTTTCAGCACGACCACAGGAATATTCCCTACAGCACGACCACAGGAATATTCCTTTCAGCACGACCACAGGAATATTTCTTACAGCATGACCACAGGAATATTCCTTACAGCATGACCACAGGAATATTCCTTACAGCATGACCACAGGAATATTTCTTTCAGCACGACCACAGGAATATTCCTTACAGCACGACCACAGGAATATTTCTTACAGCATGACCACAGGAATATTCCCTAGAGCACGACCACAGGAATATTCCTTAGAGCACCACCACAGGAATATTTCTTACAGCACAACAACAGGAATATTTCTTACAGCAAGACCACAGGAATATTTCTTACAGCACGACCACAGGAATATTTCTTACAGCACGACCACAGGAATATTTCTTACAGCAAGACCACAGGAATATTCCTTACAGCATGACCACAGGAATATTCCTTACAGCAAGACCACAGGAATATTTCTTACAGCACGACCACAGGAATATTTCTTACAGCACGACCACAGGAATATTTCTTACAGCACGACCACAGGAATATTCCTTACAGCACGACCACAGGAATATTCCCTACAGCACGACCACAGGAATATTCCTTTCAGCACGACCACAGAAAATTTTTCTTACAGCATGACCACAGGAATATTCCTTACAGCATGACCACAGGAATATTTCTTACAGCACGACCACAGGAATATTCCTTACAGCACGACCACAGGAATATTTCTTACAGCATGACCACAGTAATATTCCCTAGAGCACGACCACAGGAATATTCCTTAGAGCACCACCACAGGAATATTTCTTACAGCACAACAACAGGAATATTTCTTACAGCAAGACCACAGGAATATTTCTTACAGCACGACCACAGGAATATTTCTTACAGCACGACCACAGGAATATTTCTTACAGCACGACCACAGGAATATTTCTTACAGCACGACCACAGGAATATTTCTTACAGCACGACCACAGGAATATTTCTTACAGCAAGACCACAGGAATATTTCTTACAGCACGACCACAGGAATATTTCTTACAGCACGACCACAGGAATATTTCTTACAGCATGACCACAGGAATATTTCTTACAGCAAGACCACAGGAATATTTCTTACAGCATGACCACAGGAATATTTCTTACAGCACGACCACAGCAATATTTCTTACAGCACGACCACAGGAATATTTCTTACAGCACAACAACAGGAATATTTCTTACAGCATGACCACAGGAATATTCCCTAGAGCACGACCACAGGAATATTCCTTAGAGCACCACCACAGGAATATTTCTTACAGCACAACAACAGGAATATTTCTTACAGCAAGACCACAGGAATATTTCTTACAGCAAGACCACAGGAATATTCCTTACAGCAAGACCACAGGAATATTTCTTACAGCAAGACCACAGGAATATTCCTTACAGCACGACCACAGGAATATTCCTTACAGCACGACCACAGGAATATTCCTTACAGCACGACCACAGGAATATTCCTTACAGCACGACCACAGGAATATTCCCTACAGCACGACCACAGGAATATTCCTTACAGCACGACCACAGGAATATTCCTTACAGCACGACCACAGGAATATTCCTTACAGCACGACCACAGGAATATTCCTTACAGCAGGACCACAGGAATATTCCCTAGAGCACGACCACAGGAATATTTCTTACAGCACGACCACAGGAATATTCCTTACAGCACGACCACAGGAACATTCCTTACAGCACGACCACAGGAACATTCCTTACAGCACGACCACAGGAACATTCCCTACAGCACGACCACAGGAATATTTCTTACAGCACGACCACAGGAATATTTCTTACAGCATGACCACAGGAATATTTCTTACAGCACGACCACAGCAATATTTCTTACAGCACGACCACAGGAATATTTCTTACAGCACAACAACAGGAATATTTCTTACAGCACGACCACAGCAATATTTCTTACAGCATGACCACAGGAATATTTCTTACAGCAAGACCACTGACTCAATTCACTTAGTGAAGGGTTCTATTGAGAATTTACCTGACCCAGTGAACAGTTCTATTGATAATTTACCTGACCCAGTGAAGGGTTCTATTGAGAATTTACCTGACCAAGTGAAAGGTTCTATAGAGAATTACCCTGACCCAGTAAAGGGTTCTATGGAGATTTTACCTGATCCAGTGAAGGGTTCTATTGAGAATTTACCTGACCCAGTGAAGGGTTCGATTGAGAATTTACCTGATCCAGTGAAGGGTTCTATGAGGAATTTACCTGATCCAGTGAAAGGTTCTATGGAGAATTACCCTGACCCAGTAAAGGGTTCTATGGAGATTTTACCTGATCCAGTGAACGGTTCTATGGAGAATTTACCTGATCCAGTGAAGGGTTCGATTGAGAATTTACCTGACCCAGTGAAAGGTTCTATGGAGAATTACCTTGACTCAATGAAGGGTTCTATGGAGAATTTACCTGATCCAGTGAAGGGTTCTATGGAGATTTTACCTGATCCAGTGAACGGTTCTATGGAGAATTTACCTGATCCAGTGAGGGGTTCTATGAGGAATTTACCTGACCCAGTGAGGGTTCTATGGAGAATTTACCTGACCCAGTGAAGGGTTCTATGGAGATTTTACCTGATCCAGTGAACGGTTCTATGGAGAATTTACCTGATCCAGTGAAGGGTTCGATTGAGAATTTACCTGACCCAGTGAAAGGTTCTATGGAGAATTACCTTGACTCAATGAAGGGTTCTATGGAGAATTTACCTGATCCAGTGAAGGGTTCTATGGAGAATTTACCTGACCCAGTGAAGGGTTCTATGGAGAATTTACCTGATCCAGTGAAGGGTTCTATGGAGAATTTACCTGACCCAGTGAAGGGTTCTATGGAGAATTTACCTAACCCAATGATGTGTAGTAGGAAGTACTTACCAATGCATTCATCATGTTGTGTGTCAGACGAAATGGTACCTTTTCTGCCCATTCAAACATCTCACCCTATAGTAACAAATCAAATATTGTGTTAATTTTAGTTGCCAATATTAGTTTAGATGAGTCCTTGAGATATATGATTAATAATCATAACTTTCTGTTCTATGTATTAATATCATGCAAATTGATCAATTAAAACTGAAATTTTGAAACTTAAGCTAAATCACAAAGCCCTGTAAAATCATGAAAGTGTTTCAAAGTCCATCATAAACAAACAACAAGCTTATATATGTCATAACCTATGAAGTGATATTGACAGTATGGTACAATATTGGTAATGGATCCTAACAAACAAATCTTTGCTGGATGTATAATACCAGAATAAATTTATGATCAATGAAGTAATAACAATAGTACAGACAAGTGAATTGTCAAATTTTCGAGGTAACCTGCCACTTTATCAAGACACAAATATTACATAAATTACATCACATACATAGAACAGAAAACAAATATGAAGACACATCAATTTATATTATTGTTCTCGATTACACTTTATAACTTTGTATTTGGTTTATGTACGTAATGGACAATAGACAATTGAAACAAAACACAGGTGATATCCTACCTTGTTAAAGAGACAGTTGAAGTCCACATGAACACAGTCGCCACAAGTGGAGTCAAACAAGATATTCTCCCCATGACGATCTCCCAGTCCAAGTATGTATCCTACCATGCTGATCACAGCACATGTTCGTGCATAAGACAGACGTGCATTGTACCTGTCAAAACAAGTTTCCAAGTAAGATAACACAGGACTGTTAATTCCATCTTACTTGCAGTTTAACACCACTATTGGGTAATTTGAAGAGATATTCAATAGAAATTGCAACTTAACAACTTATTTTCATTTCAAGCTGAGCAAATAATCTAAAGCAGTGGCAAAACTGAAACAAATTATTCTTTTAGGTAAGAAAATGTCAATTACCCTTAATGCACAGTGTATGTAATGATATATAACTGAAAAGGACTTACTGGCTAATCCATACATAGAAAGTTACTGAAACTTTTTGAAATTGTATTATTTTCTTGTCAGTGAAATGCATTCAGCAGGGAAACTAACATAAACCTCCTCTAGGCATGTTAAACATAGAGATATGTCACAGATATCCCTTCAACTAGCAGTCCGGGGTTCGATTCCTTGAATGGATGTGAAAAGGTATAGGGTCACCTGCCCGACCACATGGGTTTTCCCCGGGTACTCCGGTTTCCTCCCACACTAAGACCCCTTGTGTGTTCCATCCGAGCCAACAAGAGTCATTAACATAAGTTGGAAAAACTTGCTTTGCAATTGTTGTAAAATAAATAAAGTTTATTATAATTATCCCTCGTCAAGGAACCAACTGACAGCGGGAATAGATTTGTATATCCAAATATTAGCAGGGAGTAATAGGTTTTTTTTTATAGAGAGATGTTTTTGAAACAAGTAGCTAATAGGAGAAATGAACGCTAGGATGTTAATGGCTACATCTAAACTTTGTGATGTTCAAAGAGGTAATCTATGGTAATCTACTGGGACAAAATCTTGCATTAGAACAGGTAGGCAACCTGATAGTTCACTTACCAAGATGTTGGATCTGAGAAGATTCTCAAAAACCACTCATTAAAAACTGGTGGGTGGCGTGGTAACATCTTCTCCTTGAAGCACTGCATCTTTACTCTGAAACAAGTATTTACTTGCCGCACTTTCTATCTGCATTGTCACTAAACCTAAGGCTAACAGACAAGAAACACTTAATTCTTGTGTTTCTTCCTTTGTCACAGTGAGTTATAATTTACTGAAATCTATAAACTTACTACACATTATGCAATCATTTAAGAACATCCTAGTGTGTAAAAAGGACACATTCATGTCAATAGCACTATTAAGTATCAATTTAGTAAATGTCACAATTTCGTTTGAGCTGTTTAAAAAAGAAACTATTGACAATTTTATTATATCTGGCTCAAATTCTTGAAACAGTATGCATATTTAACACTGGTTTCAAATTAAAACATAGTAAGATTACACTTTGTACCTTTATATCTGTAACAAAAAAATGCTTCGTTAAATCTCTATAACAAGTGTATCCCCTAAACCTAGAGAAAGCCTGATGCTTCCTACAACAATAACATCAAGGTTAAAGGTATTCTATTAATCATTCAACATTTGAGGTTTTTTTAAAAGTAAAGTAGTCAGCTAGCACAGTGGTAATACAATTATCATTAACCTTGGGAACCAAGCATCAATGCCCTTATGTTGTGCAAAAGGTAAGAGGTCTGTACTACGAAGTGGGTGTTCCCCATATACTCTGCTTTTCTCCAATGTAAGATGTCTCAAGCACTTCCATCCCGACCAACAACAGTGATAAATATAAGCTGATGTTAGTTTTATGTTATTGTTGTAAAATAAACAAAGTTTATTTCTTTTGCTTTTTACTTAATTATCAACAACTCACTCAATGCTGTCTGTTATCTTTGGCATCATGGCCTTGAGTTCCTTGCCGCTTGTGTAAAGGCCACGTTCTCTGTACAGTCTCATCAGGATATATCTAAGTCCACTAGTGTTACTTACCCACTCAATCAGACCACATTCCTCATTGAGGGGAACAACAGCCTACAACATTGTACAACAATCAAGTTACACATCTCACTGAGAGGAACAACAGTCTACAACATTGTACAACAATCAAGTTACATATCTCGCTCAAGGGAACAACAGTCTACAACATTGTACAACAATCAAGTTAAACATCTCACTGAAGGGAAACAACAGCCTACAACATTGTACAAAAATCAAGTTACATATCTCGCTCAAGGGAACGACAGTCTACAACATTGTACAACAATCAAGTACAACAATCAAGTTACACTTGTCACTGAGGGAAACAACAGCCTACAACAATGTACAACAATCAAGTTACATTTGTCACTGAGGGAAACAACAGCCTACAACATTGTACAACTATCAAGTTACACCTCTCACTGCCTACAACACTGTACGATAATCAAGTTACACCTCTCACTGCCTACAACACTGTACGATAGTCAAGTTGCAAACCTGAGTGAGGGAATCAAAACTGGATTTGAAGTTTGCATTGAAAGTGTGTTTGTCTTGTGAAGTTCATACATGGCATATACGTATAGATGTATATATTGAGAAGATAGATAGATAGATGCATAGATATTTCATAACATACAGGTCTAATATTCTTTGTGCAACAAAAGGTACTTACATAAGTACGTATATGGAGCTGCCTCCTCCTTGATTCTGGATCCTTCCTCAGAAACTTGTTCACAATGTCATTAAATTCCATCAAACGTCCATCTTTTCTCAAGTCATCCTGGAAAGAATAAGTATATACCGAGATGTATTGACTGAAAAATGAAGCATTAAAATAGACAACAATTTGGTTTCAAAAGACTTTTTACATTAAAAATAGCTATTCCTTGATATGTGGACCGAGCCATATTCCTGATAAGATCTATTCCCCAAAATTTTTCTTTAGAGAAGAGATTTGTTTTTTATACAATATTTTTCAAATTAAAAGTGACATAATATGAAAAACAAAAGTTGAACCCATACCACAGTATGAGTTCCAGTGGACAAGCAGTACTGTAGGAAATAGTGCCCGAACAAACCTTTTCTTTGATGTAGGTCGAAGGTCAAAATGTAGGTCAGAATAACCTACTTTGATATGCAACATATTGCCTCACCAAGGTGAACCCACACTGTAAGTATGAAGTTCTAGTGACACATAGAAACAGAAGGAAGGACAGACACAATAACGAACTCTAGCACCCCCTCCCTCCTCCCCCAAATAGTCGATGACTGAAAAAAATCCTGGATATAGCAGCCTTCTTATTAAGTAAGTGATGATGGGTAGGTGAGCAGTTTACATACCTTGGGTTTACACATCATGGTGTAAAATTTACCATCACTACCAATCAGTGAAATCTTCTTTGGTCTCTGTAGAGAAGGCAGGATCTCAACCTAGGAAATAAAACACTGAGTTATAAAGGCTATCTGGAATCAAATTTACTGCTACATATCAAATGTCAAACACCAATTTTTACATCCTAGCCCTAACTATAAGTCAAGAGTTGTGTTGCTATTGCCTTCTAGTGTTCAATGTATTGTTTATCGTTATTTGCTAAATGCAAACAGTAACCAAACTGTCGTTTTTTTTACTGCAAAAAAAAAGTACCTAGAATTCAATGACAACTTACAACATCATTAATGCCACTGATGTACACTTCTTTGGCAGGGAATGGGTCATGTGTGGCGTGTGATCCAGGAGTACTGGGCAACATCACTGTCATGTTGGACTGGAGAGGTAGTATTATACTGCTGAAGTTACTGTTAATATACCATAACAACAACAGTTATAGACATTTATATCTGTACTTATAGCACAAACAAATTCTTTAATTCATAGCAGATATGTTGATGTAATTCTTACCATATTCTCCTTCTTTTTCAAAGGTTTTTTAAGCTTTTCTCATTTATCACCCAATATATGAGAAGTAAAAATATCACTTTCATCCTGTTGATGATGTAAAGAGTAACTGTTTGTTCTGTGGATGATGTAAACATTGCCTGTCATCCTGTGGAACATTAACTGTTTGATAACGTAAGTATCAGCTTTTATCATCAATATTAACATCACCTCGTGACCATGTGACCGTACATCCTGTGGAACATTAACTGTTTGAACATCACTTTTATCTCATCACATCATGACCATGTGACCGTACCTGTCATCCTGTGGAACATTAACTGTTTGACAACGTAATTATCAGCTGTTATCTAGTATGTAATATCAATATCAACATCACCTCAACAATGACCATGTGACCGTACCTGTCATCCTGTGGAACATTAACTGTTTGACAACGTAAGTATCAGCTGTTATCTAGTATGTAACATCAATATTAACATCACCTCAACAATGACCATGTGACCGTACCTGTCATCCTGTGGAACATTAACTGTTTGACAACGTAAGTATCAGCTGTTATCTAGTATGTAATATCAATATCAACATCACCTCGACAATGACCATGCAACCGTACCTGTCATCCAGCAGACGTTTGAGTGGTTTAAAGTGCTGCGATACACTCATGTTGTTTGAGCCAGTATATTCTTTATTACACAGCTCCAATAAACGATCTGTAAGCTTGGTGGAGTCCTAAAGACAAGAATAGATTTCTGATCCTCAAGTTTCAGAACAGAACACAAGTGAATCAGAATACATTCACCGTAAGAACTTTACACTACAAAGTGTACAATTGAAACATTACAAACTACAAGTACCAAAACAACAAAATAAATGATGGCTTCAAACTCGGTAATATCATTTATCACTGTAATAGTTAAATTAAACACTCTTGTAATATCATTTATCACAGCAATAGTTAAATGAAACACTTTGTAATATCATTTATCACAGCAATAGTTAAATGAAACACTCTTGTAATATCATTTATTACAGCAATAGTTAAATGAAACACTCTTGTAATATCATTTATCACAGCAATAGTTAAATGAAACACTCTTGTAATATCATTTATCACAGCAATAGTTAAATGAAACACTCTTGTAATATCATTTATCACTGGAATAGTTAAATGAAACACTCTTGTAATATCATTTATCACAGCAATAGTTAAATGAAACACTTTGTAATATCATTTATCACAGCAATAGTTAAATGAAACACTCTTGTAATATCATTTATCACAGCAATAGTTAAATGAAACACTCTTGTAATATCATTTATCACTGGAATAGTTAAATGAAACACTCTTGTAATATCATTTATCACAGCAATAGTTAAATGAAACACTTTGTAATATCATTTATCACAGCAATAGTTAAATGAAACACTCTTGTAATATCATTTATCACAGCAATAGTTAAATGAAACACTCTTGTAATATCATTTATCACTGTAATAGTTAAATGAAACACTATTGTAATAACATTTATCACTGGAATAGTTAAATGAAACACTCTTGTAATATCATTTATCACAGCAATAGTTAAATGAAACACTCTTGTAATATCATTTATCACTGGAATAGTTAAATGAAACACTCTTAATATTGAAATGTTTACCTTTACAAATTTCTGCAATCCTGGATTTATTTGCCTGGAAAGTGATGAGTATAAGTATCAAATTTATGACCAAAAAAATATCTGACATGAACTCACTTTCCTATGAGAATATAAACAAGTGGCCCAAGGGGCCTTAACGGTCACCTGAGGAATATATGTCAATAATCTGGGGATTTTAAAATGTTGCAAAAATGTAACAACACTTGTGCAGGACCATGTGTAAAACGTCTGTACCAAGTTTGAACTTGACCCACCCAATGGTTCTTGAGAGGAAGTCCATAATGTCTTAGCCAAACAGAGGCCAGGGTGGCCATCTTGGATTTTGAATCGCCCCAAAAAGTTAAAACACTTGCCAGGACCTTGTGTAGAACATTCGTATCAAGTTTCCCCTTTTTCCCCCTCCTGTGGCCCCTATTGGGACCATGCCCTTTTTCTTCGCAAACTTGAAGCGGCTTTCTATGGGGATGCTTTGTGCCAAGTTTGGTCAAAATCCATCTACTGGTTCTTAAGAAGTAGTCATTTAATGAAGGTTTTTACATATGGCCCCTTTTACAACCCTTATGGGCCCCAAAGAGGACATGATAACTTTTTTCAACATAATTTCATATGTTCTTCTCTAAGGGATGCTTTCTACCAAATTTGGTTGAAATCGGTCAAAGTTGAATTTTTGACCCTTTTGAGCGCCCCCTTGTGCGGCCGTTTTTGACCCGATTTTTTTTTCATTCGCAAACTTTGTAGGCCATGCCATAAGGACCCTAAACATCAAATATGAACTTAATCTGACTGTTGGTTCATGAGAAGAAGATTTTTAAATGTTTACCTTATCCTAATTTTATCCCCTTTTCCCCCATCCTGCGGCCCCTATTGAGGCCACACCATTTTTCTTTGCAAACTTGAAGTGGCTTTTCATGGGGATGCTTTGTGCCAAGTTTGGTCAATATCCATCCAATGGTTCTTGAGAAGAAGTCATTTAAAGAAGGTTTTTAAATATGGCCCCTTTTACACCCCTTAAGGGCCCAAAGGGGACATGATCACTTTTTTCAACATAATTTCATATGTTCTTCACTAAGGGATGCTGTCTACCAAATTTGGTTGAAATCGGTCAAAGTTGAATTTTCGACCTTTTTGAAGCACCCCCTAGTGGGGCCGTTTTTCACCCAATTTTTTTTTCATTCGCAAACTTTGTAGACCTTGCCATAAGGACCCAAAATATCAAACTTAATCTAACTGCTGGTTCATGAGAAGATGATTTTTAAAGATTTACCTAATTTTACACCCTTTTTCCCCCTCCTGGGGCCCCTACTAGGGCCATGCCCTTTTTCTTCGCAAACGTGAAGCGGCTTTCCATGGGGATGCTTTGTGCCAAGTTTGGTCAATATCTATTCAGTGGTTCTTGAGAAGAAGTCGAATATTTGAAAAGTTAACGACGCACGACGACAGACAAATCATGCTGGCAATAGGTCACCATGAGCCTTTGGCTCAGGTGACCTAAAAATCTGCAATGAGAATTTCTCTTCCTAATTTAACGTATGGACATCACCTAAAAGACACAATGACTTTCAATAACTTATGACCATATGAAATAAAAATTCATTTAAACCTATTCAGCATGTTCCATATTAGCCAAATCAAATTTTCCCCCTGAAATGTGTCAATTGAATGTGTTTTTCATTTGTGATGCTGTAAAACAATTAAACTGAGATGCCAAGGAATCTGTCACATATTTCAAATTTGTTACAAACAATGTAGCCTTATTTATTACTACATGGTTTTGTTCGCCTCAGTCACAGTGACTGTGTGGTTGACAGATTTAAAAGCAAAAAAAAAAAAGCAATTATTTCTAATTTGGTGTCATTATTGAATTTCATATAAAGAATAAAACCAAACTTGATCAGGTAATTGATAACTATGAAAATCACACCAACTGTTTTTAAAGTTATTAAGCTGACAGAATTAAAGGTGACGAAATCCAAGGTAAGTCAATACCAGATTTCAGAGGCAGCTTATCACCATACCCTTTCAGAATTTTCAAAACTAAGAAATTGACCAGCAACCATTCTTTTTTTATTTTTATATTTTTTAAGTGCCTGAGGAAACACTTCACATTAAATTGCTCCAATTTACAATTTTGTTTCTTAAATTTGAGAAATATGTGATTTTTGCGATACATCTTCATTTCAATTGGATTAAACAAATTGGATTTGAAAATCTACTTACTCTGCTCTTGCAAATATGTCTTTGCATCGACTTACTCTGACTTTATAGGATGACTGAAATAACACAATAGGACATTAATTAACAACATGTTGATAGCTAAGGTCAGTATTGTTTTAACTTTTTCAGGAATCAAAATCAACCATATTTTCCCAAATCATACTACAACATAATTCCTGACATAAACTAGAAATTATCGCCCGATTATAAGTCAGGAAAACGTGATCAGTTCATTACAACAAATTGACCAGTTCAAAGATAAATGACTTGACTCTGATATCTAACCTACAGTCTTGACTAAGGTCATCTGCTTTCTCATTAAATTTCAATGAACTTTGAACAATGAATTATTAATTAGTTATCAGGGAATACTGCCTTGACATTGACCTTTAATCACACCACTTATTCTTTCATTCTGATCAATAATAAGAATAATAACACTTATTTGACATTTGACCATGAGGTGTAGGTCACTGTTACTATCATTTCAAAACATCTAACAAGCTTTTCAAATATTTTGTATGGAATTTGTATAGAAAAGTATTTAAGGCAAACAAACAAATCCTGTGTGGAATAGTTCGAAACCAACAAGGGAGGCATACCCATCTTTTTGGACAAATATGGATAACAAGAGGCCCAATGAGCCTGAATCACTCATCTGGTATTCTTTGTTCATCCCAGACATCTACCTGCCAAATATTATGCTTCTTTGACTTTTGGCTAATCAGAGGCAGTTGTTTTAGGGTTTTGATGAATTTGACCCCTTGACCTTCATCACAAGTCAAGATTATTTCTCTTTATTTCTGTTTGAAAAAGTTGTTAGGATTCTATTAGTGAACTGTCAGCCACATATAATCCTTTTAGGCCTTTTGCTTAATCAGAGGCAGTTGGTTTCAGGTTTTGACAAATTTGACCTCTGTGACCTTGACTTTTGGTTAATCAGAAAAAGACATTTCACAGTTTTTACAAGAATTTATACTAAGAATCTATCAGCCAAACCTTATGCTTCTGGGTCTTTTGGTTTGTCAGAAGAAGCTGTTATACAGGTTTTAACAAAATTGACCAATGGACCTTGAGAAATGGTCCAGGTCATTTAGTTTCACAAAATTTGTCAGGTTTCATCTGAGGAACTTGTCAACCAAATATCATGTTTCTAGGTCTTTTGGTTGTTCAAAAGAAGTTGTTTAAATGTTTTAGCAAATTTGACCTCTGTGACCTCTTTGACAGGATTCATACTAGGAACCTGTAAGCCAAATTTGTTTCTGGGCTTTTTGGTTTATTAGAGGAAGTTGTTCTGAGTTTTTAACAAATTTGACCCCTTGAACTTGAATATGGATCAAGGTCATTTCTTTTCTTCAACTTTGTCAGGATTCATACTAGAAACCTGTCATTTTTTCTCTTGGTTATCAAGAAAAAGGGAAATGGAAAAGTTGCCACCAGACAGACAGATGAACGACACGCCACAACCAAAAGCGTACTTGGCCCTTCAAGCCAGTTGAGCTAAAAAACTGCATCTTTTTATTCTCAAATGAAATTTTCAGTCATATAACATAAAATATAACTACCAAAATACAAATATGTACATTCTTCCTTTCTGTTGAGACCGGTAGGTTTGTAAAGTATATTTGATGAATTAAGAACATATGCTAACCTTTGACACTGCCATCAACATCCACATGCCTTGCTGAGGGAACTTAGCAAACAAGCAAGCAATTATCTCCTGAAAATACAACATTTCAACATAAAACACAGGGAATAAACTTGAATAGATTTAAATGCTTGAGATTTATTTGATTTTCTAGACAATTAAATTTCCTGAGTAAAGAAGTCTTTTTGCCTGTTTACTGAAACATCAGTAATTTTGAATGCAAAATTTCTTTTTTTCAATTAGGCGAGTTAATTTTAAAAGTTTTAAAAACATGTGGTTTAGTGAATGTTTGGAAACAAAAGAAAATACTTATACAAGTTTGTGTTTTTTCTACAACAATAAAAGAACTACTCCAATGGTGAATTGTGTAACCAAGCATGCTTTGTTTGATATCAGATGACTGATACCTTGGGAGTTGAATAACACAAACCCATCATTGAAGAATACTTTATTTCTCTTTGAATACCACCCTACTTAACAAATATTTGATGACATCTCCAGTAGGTAGTTAGTGTCTTGGTTGGTATTTTAATACATTACCCTGAGCTGTTGAAAGACATCTGGCTGGGTGTGACAGATCCTGGAAATAAGCTGTGAAAAGGCTGTGAACAACTGATAGGAGGCTAACTGTTGTCCGAGGGCTGACACCAGCTGTGAAACAAACCAACCAATTTGTTCATAGCTTGAAACCAACAGTATCAAAATCTATTTATCTATTCTTTAACATTGCCAATGCTTTTCCGATTTGAGAATTTCTAGTCTCAACCTCGCGATGAGATGGGACAATCCATCTTTCATAATTATGACATGTCATCAACACATCAAATATTCAACTAATCAAAAGATTTATGAAGTCATAAGCTCAACATCAACTGTAAAATCAACAGATTTATTTCATCCCAGACAGGTTAAACCTAATAAACACAGAGTTACAAAGTAAAATAAATTTTTTGTGAAAGTAGGAGGTAGGGGGCCCTTTACCTGTTGAAACAATTTCGAACAGGAAATATCCGAGCCAATTTTTCACTAGGACAACCAAGAACATGCTTACCTTATTGAGCTTGGCTAAAGTGGTCCTCATGATCTGTAGTTTGTGAGCAAGCTGCTGGTTTCGAGACACATCCCTTTTCTCCATCTCAGCTACACTTGTGCCAAAATCGAGCCACAGACTTAGGAGGCGTGGCAGGGACTGATAGATATACTGATTACCATACTGAAGGGACTGACCAAAGGATTTGACAACATGGTGAATAAACTCCCTACAACAAACATAAAGTGAGACACTGTAGTGGATAATCTGTACAACAAGGAAGTAAGTGGTGACTGTGGTGGGTAAACTATACAACAAGGAAGTAAGTGGTGACTGTGGTGGGTGAACTACACAACAAGGAAGTAAGTGGTGACTGTGGTGGGTAAACTATACAACAAGGAAGTAAGTACTGACTGTGGTGGGTAAACTACACAACAAGGAAGTAAGTGGTGACTGTGGTGGGTAAACTACACAACAAGGAAGTAAGTGGTGACTGTGGTGGGTAAACTATACAAGGAAGTAAGTGGTGACTCTGGTGGGTAAACTACACAACAAGGAAGTAAGTGGTGACTGAGGTGGGTAAACTACACAACAAGGAAGTAAGTGGTGACTGTGGTGGGTAAACTATACAAGGAAGTAAGTGGTGACTGGTGGGTAAACTATACAACAAGGAAGTAAGTGGTGACTGTGGTGGGTAAACTACACAACAAGGAAGTAAGTGGTGACTGTGGTGGGTAAACTACACAACAAGGAAGTAAGTGGTGACTGGTGGGTAAACTATACAACAAGGAAGTAAGTGGTGACTGTGGTGGGTAAACTATACAAGGAAGTAAGTGGTGACTGAGGTGGGTAAACTACACAACAAGGAAGTAAGTGGTGACTGAGGTGGGTAAACTATACAAGGAAGTAAGTGGTGACTGTGGTGGGTAAACTATACAAGGAAGTAAGTGGTGACTATACAAGGAAGTAAGTGGTGACTGGTGGGTAAACTATACAACAAGGAAGTAAGTGGTGACTGGTGGGTAAACTATACAACAAGGAAGTAAGTGGTGACTGTGGTGGGTAAACTATACAAGGAAGTAAGTGGTGACTGAGGTGGGTAAACTACACAACAAGGAAGTAAGTGGTGACTGTGGTGGGTAAACTATACAAGGAAGTAAGTGGTGACTGGTGGGTAAACTATACAACAAGGAAGTAAGTGGTGACTGTGATGGGTAAACTACACAACAAGGAAGTAAGTGGTGACTGTGGTGGGTAAACTATACAACAAGGAAGTAAGTGGTGACTGTGGTGGGTAAACTATACAAGGAAGTAAGTGGTGACTGTGGTGGGTAAACTATACAACAAGGAAGTAAGTGGTGACTGTGGTGGGTAAACTATACAAGGAAGTAAGTGGTGACTGTGGTGGGTAAACTATACAACAAGGAAGTAAGTGGTGACTGTGGTGGGTAAACTATACAAGGAAGTAAGTGCTGATTGTGGTGGGTAAACTATACAAGGAAGTAAGTGGTGACTGAGGTGGGTAAACTATACAAGGAAGTAAGTGGTGACTGAGGTGGGTAAACTATACAAGGAAGTAAGTGGTGACTGTGGTGGGTAAACTACACAACAAGGAAGTAAGTGGTGACTGTGGTGGGTAAACTATGCAACAAGGAAGTAAGTGGTGACTGTGGTGGGTAAACTATACAACAAGGAAGTAAGTGGTGACTGTGGTGGGTGAACTACACAACAAGGAAGTAAGTGGTGACTGTGGTGGGTAAACTATACAACAAGGAAGTAAGTGGTGACTGTGGTGGGTAAACTATACAACAAGGAAGTAAGTGGTGACTGTGGTGGGTAAACTACACAACAAGGAAGTGGTGACTGTGGTGGGTAAACTATACAACAAGGAAGTAAGTGGTGACTGTGGTGGGTAAACTATACAACAAGGAAGTAAGTGGTGACTGTGGTGGGTGAACTACACAACAAGGAAGTAAGTGGTGACTGTGGTGGGTAAACTATACAACAAGGAAGTAAGTGGTGACTGTGGTGGGTAAACTATACAAGGAAGTAAGTGGTGACTGTGGTGGGTGAACTACACAACAAGGAAGTAAGTGGTGACTGTGGTGGGTAAACTATACAACAAGGAAGTAAGTGGTGACTGTGGTGGGTAAACTATACAACAAGGAAGTAAGTGGTGACTGTGGTGGGTAAACTATACAACAAGGAAGTAAGTGGTGACTGTGGTGGGTAAACAAAGAAGTTACTTTCGATGGTGGTCGGACAAGTAGTGACTGACATATTAATGTTAAAGCATGACCTGAATGTCTGGTGTGATGTTATCATTGTTGACCTGAATGTTTGATGGGTGACCTGACTGTTGTAAGTGTGACCTTGCTATCAGAACTGTGATCTAATTGTCAGAGGTATAACATCACATGCATGACTCCATTTATAGAATATGACCTGACAGTGAAGGAGGTGGAACATCAATGTGTGATCAGACTGTGTGATATTACCGTTGGCGAGAAGGATCAGGTTTGTCCTTGTCCTCAAGCAAAGTAGTCATGATCTTGTCGTAATACTTTGCTAAGTGGAAGTGCCCATCCTCCCAGTCTGGGTAGACATCAGTTACCTCTTTGTACTGCTTTAAGATCACATTACTTTCCATTTTAGATGTCTCTTCACTGTAACATCCGTACAACAGTAATGCCTGAAGGTCAAAGGTTAAACGAATTTACACAATCTGCTGTTTCATCTTTAAAAATCTAGCCTAATGGTGAATCTTCAATAGTGGTGTCACAATACACCAAAAGTGTATTATCATATATTGCTTAAGGGGAAAACTACAGATCATTCTTGGAAAATGTTTCTTAACTTAATAAAAAAAATAAATGTCTCATGACTCAAACATAATCCTTAGTCATATGAAAAATAAAGACTTCGGATTTTCATTGAACAAATATTGAAAACATTGAAGATCATGAAAATGCTATCCAAGTATTTATAATACAAATCTTAAACACATTTATCTTGTTACAAAACAAAACCTTAAAAGTGCTAAGCACTTGGCTCTAATTTACTCTATATAAAGATGGATAATTACAACCAACAAGGATGTTACAGCGGTTTAAAATCATTACTTTGTAGAAACTTGAAAGCCACTTAACCCAGAATACTGATGCCAAAATGCCACATGGTTCCATAAAAGTGGTAATTCAAGATGAAATGTAATGAAAAGCGTCCAAGTTCCAAACAAATGATTACCTTGGCATATGTCTTGCGTTTGTTGTCAGTCTGAGCTGAACCGTCCAGTTTTAATTTGGAAACATCCTCGAAGTGGATAGACATTCCTCGTTCCAGACATGATATGGCTTGGTCTTTTTCTCCCTTGAAAACATACACAAATAATTGTACAAAAAAAGTGTTAGAGGAGAGGGGCATATCAAGTATCTACCTATGATAGGCAAGCATAACTCAACTCAATAGTCACCCAGTCAAATTTACAAACAACTACCTCTCTCTCTATATCAACTTCATACCTTTCCCCATCAACCACTCTGTCCTCTCTAGGAACACATCAGCTAAACCTACCTATCTATAACTTTACCTCTACCTCTCCCTCTATATCAACTTAATACCTCTCCCCATCAAACATTCTGTCCTCTCTAGGAACACATCAGCTAAACCTACCTATCTATAACTTTACCTCTACCTCTCCCTCTATATCAACTTAATACCTCTCCCCATCAAACACTCTGTCCTCTCTCGGAACACATCAGCTAAACCTACCTATCTATAACTTTACCTCTACCTCTCCCTCTATATCAACTTCATACCTCTCCCCATCAAACACTATGTCCTCTCTAGGAACACATCAGCTAACATCTACCTATATATCAACTTCATACCTCTCCCCATCAACCACTCTGTCCTCTCTAGGAACACATCAGCTATGTCTAGCTCAGTTAAATCACTGTATTTTTTTTAACAAAAATCTTTCAAATGAACCCTTTATCATTTTTTTGTGCATTTAATTTTTTTGGTGATTCCATTGTCTTAGAAATTTGGAGTGCCTTTTTCGAAGACTTTGAATACTTCAGAAGGAACATAATAGCTTAGATATATAAACCAGTCTGGATTCTAACTCAAAAGGAGATCTAAATGACCACTCATGCTTCATAAGAGATTTATATACTGACCAGTATTTTTTTATTATAGAAGTAATCATGATTAGAAAGTGTTCAGGTATATGAAGGTACATCAGCTATATAGATGTATTACTTACATAATTAGAATAAAAAATACCAAGGATCCACAAAGGGATTATCCCCCACATCTAGCTGTTGATGTAAAAACCCAAATATATATATATATTAAGCCTGGTAGAACAATTTGTGACATCACTCAATTATGTACCGCTACTATCACCTGAAGATCTAATACAGTGAAAGTGCTAGTGCAAAATGAACATCCTCTTCTGTCAATAATCTATTAAATTTCCTTGCATCTCCTCAACTGCAACATATATATATACTGTTGATATCTGAATAGAGCTTGGTATTGACCATGAACAAACTTATGTAACATTGTAAGCTCTGGAGTAATACTAGAAGTCACAAGAAATCGAAAAATTAATGATAACAGGAAAAAAGATAAATAATGAAATGTCCCAAATAAGAAAAGGCACAGACAGGTTACTAACCTTATATATACAGTTTTTTGTGTATGTACAAAAGGAATTAACACTATCTTTGGATTTTTGACAACAGGCAAAGCCTATATTAGCCCTCTCCTTAAAAAATATAACAGTAATTACATGCACATTACATATGAATATAGCTTTTTCTTCAGGTTGATAATATTAATAGAATAGAAGTTCTTGTAACAAAACCAGCAGAAGTGTAACATAATCTTCTTGTATTATTACATATCTTAGATAGAAGATTATTTGTACTATTGAGTGAACTTCAATGGACAAGAAACATTCTAATGATCAGAATTAATGTAATACTAAGCTAATTTAGAGTTCAGAAAAATCTTTTGGTGTCTCTGATGTATTTCTGAACCGCCTCCATAATATAAATATTCATGTTTATAACTTGAGGCTGAAAACCATAAATTAACGTTTGAATATTGAGTGGAATGGAATCGTTTATTGCTGACAAAGAGTTGAGTAAAGTTAGTCTTTGATTAGAATATAGAGGACAGTGCAAGAAAAAATGTTCACGATCTTCTAATGGAGCACCACATGTACAAGCAGGGCTATCACTAAGGTATGAATTGAATAAATCAGAGTTCAGATTACTTGCAAAATTTCTTAACTGACATAATATTATGTTAAATTTCCTATCACCTTGATATTTAAAAACATTAGAACATAATGGATAGGCATCCGTATCTGATGAGTTTAAACATTCCCTTTTTAATGCTGCAAGTGATGTCATTGTGGGTAACAGACAGGCTGGCTCATTCCATTCTGACATAAGTCTTGGAAAAAAGCTAGAACTATATAGATTCGTTCTTGGTAAAGGACAATCAAATAACCTGTTATGTCTAAAGTTGTAATTGACAACATTGTTAAAAAAGGGAAGTAGCAAGTCAGATACATGAGATGGACATATGCTGTTAAAAATTTTAAAAAATACAATATTTTGATGTAAGTGTCTTCTCATCCTAAGTTTAACAAAGCCAGTCTCTTTATATAGAGTGTCATGGCTAGTGCCTCGCCTTAGTCCAGATATAATTCGCAATGCTTCAAGTTGGACTGACTCTAAGACGTCACACTCTCTCTGGGAACAGTTGGCCCATACGATATCGGCATATTCGAGGATTGGACGAATAAATGAGATGTAAATTTTCTCAAGGGATTTTCTATCAATCTTAAATTTTAACATTCTAAGAATATTAAGTCTTGAACAAGCCTTTTCATAGATAAAGTCTATATGAGATGACCAGTTGGCATTGCCATTGAATACAAGACCAAGATGTTTATGATTAGTGACATTATTGATTACTTCATTGTTAAAAATAAGATCAGGATGCAACGTCTCAGAGTCAGCCCTTCTTGAAAAAAGAAGAGAAACTGTTTTATCCGGATTGAATAATATACCCCATTTTTTAGCCCAAGTGGAAATTTTGCGTAGATCTTCATTGAGTATGTCAGCAGCCTCCTGTCTGTTACCCTCTATCAGTGTATATAAGGATGTGTCATCAGCAAAAAGCTTAACATTAGATGATAAATTATCTCCTATATCATTTATATATAACAAAAACAAATATGGCCCTAAAACTGACCCCTGAGGTACCCCCGCCTTTAACGATTTCCAGTTAGATTTGAATCCATTTAAGACCACTCTCTGTCTCCTATCCATTAAGTACGAAGAGAACCAGTTCAATATATTACCACAAAACCCATATTGTTTTAATTTGAATAATAAGCCATCATGCCAAACCCTGTCAAAAGCTTTGCTTATATCGCAAAATATCATTCTGGCTTCTTTACCTTTATCCAAATGCTTTACAATAGCATCGTATATTGTTAATAATTGATAGACAGTTGAATCTTTAGGGAGAAATCCTGATTGATTCTTAGAAATAATTTTATATTTTGAAAGATAATTAAACATATATTTAAAAACAATTTTTTCAAGAAGTTTACTAAAAATAGGAGTAACAGAGATTGGTCTATAATTGGATGGATTACTTTTTGAACCCTTGCACTTGTACACGGGTGTTACATGAGCATTTTTCCATACAGAAGGAAGGGTACCAGTGGAGATGGACTTGTTAAAGATAAGAAATAAAGGTCTAATTAAAGCTTGAGATACACCTTTAATAAATGTGGGAGGAATGGAGTCAGGACCTTGAGGTTTGTTAGTATTGAGTGTGTGAAGTTGGTCAATTATGTCTTGTTCTGTTATGTCAAAGGTCGAGAAGCTATGCTCAGGTCGGTTAAAGTCGGTAGGTAAATCGTCAGCAGTCTTTTCAGTTTCTGATATTGATACAAAATAATTATTAAAAGATTCTGCTTTATCGGTGGGGTGCATTTTTAGTATACCATTGATAACCAAAGGGGAGTCAGTTTCACATTTGTTTTTAAAGTTCATTACAGATTTTGCAACACGCCACCATTTTCCCGGGGGTATGGATTTGTCTATTAAAGATGATTGTAATTTTGAAAGATAGTTTTCTTTTGCCTCGCGTATTAATGCAATTACTTCATTCCGAATACTTCTAAACTTTGTCCACGAGGCTGGGGTATTTGCAGTTTTGGCTTTAGAATGCTGACGATTTCTTTGTCTTATTTTTAGTCTTATGTCATTAGTCATCCAAATTTTATCGTTAGGCCTAATAGTTACAATTTTGTGAGGAACAAATTTATCTAAAGCAGTCAAGATTTTATCAGAAAGAACAAAATTCATATCTTCAATATTTCCATGTAGTTCAGAGTCCCAGTCGACCGAATTAAGATAGGCATTAGCCCCGTCATAGTCAGTATTATTAAAATAAAGCAATGTCTTCTTATAGGCACGTTTCTTTAGAGTCTTGAAGTTGAGGTCAGCACTGACAGGACAGTGGTCACTACAAGAAGGAGGATGAACTTTGCTATTAGTTACAAAATTTACGTTATTAGTTAGTATGATATCAAGTGATGTTGAAGACTGAGAAGTTATCCTGGTAGGTTCAAAAATAGTATTTTTAAGACCATATTTTGATAAAAGGCGGTGAAAATGAGAGTTTGGATTAAGATTTAACATGTTAACATTAATATCACCTACCAGGACAACTTCTTTCTGTAGATCCACAATACTGTCAAGATTATTGTCTAGTCTATCCCAAAAACCTACGAGAGAATTAGGGGGTCTGTATATACAACCAAGAAGAATAGGTTTATTGTTAGTTGTTACTTCAGTCCATATTAGTTCAAGATCATCTGATTCTAAATCATTTCTACGCTTTATGCTAACGTTATTTTTGGTATATATAAGTATTCCGCCACCATTATTATCAGTCCTATCCTTTCTGAAAATATTGCCAAAGTTTTCAAGAGATATGTTGCTTGCAGAAATGGAATTATTAAGATGAGTTTCAGTTACACATAGGATATCGTATTCAGAAAATTCAGCATCAAGAATGTGGGTCTTGTTTCTTAAAGAACATATATTGATATGACAGATAGATAAATTATGAAGATTGATATTGTCTTGTGGATAGGGTCCAGGGTTCGGATGAATATCGCCACAGGCTAGTAATATGTAGAGAGGTAGTAAATGAAAGTGCAAAATGGTGGAAGGCGAGCTCATTGAACCATCAGAGACACCAATACAAAATAGTTTACCATTCACAACTCCCTCCATACCAGGATGAATCACTAATTTAGCCATTGTCAAAAAGGATATACATGGAATGTGATGGATAATGGTAAGGAGAGTGATGTGAATGGACAAGGGAATTCATGATAAAGTACAATTGGAAAAGAAATGGATTAAAATATCGTAAGCAATGATTACATGTGTAACTGTTATTATTATGAAAACCGGCATGTTGTGCCAATAAATACATTTTAAACAAGTGTAACAAAACGGCATATATACATATAAAGACAATGAGCATTGCTTTATCATTCAATGATGTATGTTTGGCATAAGACATCATAGATTTTTTCAAGTCAATAGATATATCGACATAAGAATCCGTCCCAGTGATATTGAAAGCAAACTAACAAGTGAGAAGTTTATATAGACATCTAAGAGACCGATAGCACAAGAGCTCTATTTTTAGATACTAAATGCAGAATTAATTCAACAATGTAGGGTACGAATGGAAGAAGGAATAAAATGAGATGAACACAATTAATCTTTCAATGTCATCTTGTCAATCGTTACTGACATGCATTCATTGATTCATCAGTAGTTACTATATTGAGTTAAAAAAATGTACAAATGTTCACTCGAGGTAATTGAAACCGTAGATAATAGAACTCTGCGAAAAAAAAAAAAAAAAACTACAAAAAAAAGAAACAAAAGCAAAAAAAAAAAAACAATTTTTTATTGATAGGGGCTATAACGGAAAATGAGATAATCAATTATGGATGACACTTTTTTTTATCTAAAAAAAAAAAAAAAGAGAAAGAAAACAAAATGAAACAAGATAAAACAAAACATTTTTTTATCGTTATCGTATTTACTACTTGACCGTCGTCGACCATATATCTATGAAAAAACATAGTATCACTATTTACAGTTGAAGTATATTTTCAGCTCATGATATAATGTACAGTATATAGCAGGGGTTGTTTAAGTCACATTTTGATCTATTACTTTCAAAATGGTAAGAACAAATAAGTCTCACAAAGACAACAACACATAAGATTATACATGGGTAGAAGATGGCAATAGCTACATGATGTTACTGATTTCATTAAGTATTTTGTGTAAAATCTTCTTTGCACTTATATTCATGCGCTATATGAATAGCATAACCATACACATATATAAATTATATATATTTAAAAACAGTAACAATAGAATGTGAGAAGCTCATGTTTGCAACCGTACAAGCATAGACATATTAATAGTACTTTTTAGGTATAAGTCACAAAACAGAGGTTATCTCTGTCTACCAGGGAGAATTAGTAAACGTATATCTAGTTATGATTAAATATTTAATATTTTTAATGACCAGTATAAACAGATAATGTATTATTCCACATGAAAGTAAATTATATTACAGGGTGAGTAAGCCAAGGTCACAGCTGATGCACGGGCAAAAATGACACGTGCACTGGCACCACTACTGTGACCTCACCTGTAAAGGTGTACAAGATATACAAAACATCCCGCTGGATAGCGACACTCTATGGGACGGTATACTACTGTAGTTTGACATCGAGTGTTTGAAAGTATAACCATAAATATGTTTGAGAAACGCCCCTACCAAATGAATAAATTATATTCAAAACAAGCGATATCAGATGACGAGTTCAGCGTAAATAAGGTAACTTCCCAGCAGATTTTGGAATTAGGTAATAAAAACTTACAAAATGAGTTCGATATCACAGATACATTATCATATATTTTTAGGCTAGCGGTATATTGATCATATTTGTACATTATATAGCAAAGCTTGCATTTGCAATGTTCTGTAAGTTAATTGGATTGCATATATATTGTTCAAATTAACAAAATAAGTATAATGGCATGTACAATTCACATCAATTGTACCTCACGGCAGATCTGAGTTTACTTAGCGAGTATGGGAAATGCTTTAAGATTTCATATTCATTTACTTTTTATGCATGATACTTCTGTGAATGATATAGCCAGCACTTTGCTACAGCGCTATTTTACAAATTAAACAATAAGGCTTTTTGACATTTACACTAGCATGGACAAGAATGATGGATCGATAATAGACAACGACAGAAAGGAAAATGAAACATCTTAACAACAGTTAAACAAATCTGATTTCTTGATCAGCAAACACATTATTTACATGAACTTATTACTTATCAAACCTTGACGCCACTAAATGTCAGTCCCTTTCGGTTAATTTGAGGAAGGGATGTGCCTTCAAATACACTAATTTGGTCTTCCTCCGCTGACCTTCAGGAAGGCTCCTCCTCTTACCAAGTAGCTCATAGCGGAGTTGTGCTAGGGAAGGGGGTAAGTCTGGGACTACAGCAAAGCCAGATCCAGGTTTAATTTTAAAACCGAGGTTCAGTACTTGATCACGGTCCTGAAGACTTACAAAACGAACTATAATGTTCCTCTTTTCCTGGGGACCATTAGGGAGCCTATGAATTGCCTGAAACAGCATGGTGTCTGCGATATGAGCAGGCACCCCGAGAGTATTCTTGAGAAAGCCACGAACTGCTAACTGGGTGTCACGAGAAGGTTCCTTAACATTGCCAGGAATACCACGCACAACCAAATTCCACTTTCTGCCCCATAATTCTAAAGCAATTCTCTCATTTTTTTCACTTTCAAGTCTGGCTTCTAAATTTGGGATAGTTTCCTCATGTAAGATTTTCATTTCCCCCATCACATATTCTAATGAAGCTTCATGTGTATCAACAGTTTTTTCAATCTTCTCAACCACAGTTGTAATTGAAC